TCCCTCCCTTTCTTCTAGTTTAGGATTGGTAGCGGAGCGGTATGCTCCAGTAGGCGTAGTGCCGTAGTTCCGCTAGCGCAATGTCATCCAGCGACGTGCGTAAGTATGGGCTTCATGGTGAAGTTCCTGGTGATGATCACAGCATTGGCGGTAGTAACCCTCGTAGTGCACAACGTGGTGTTCATCCGGAGCCTCCGGCCGACATCCCTACGACCCGACTTAGTGGGTCTTTTGCAAGCAGCGGCCCTAGCAGTGACGCAGGGAGAGGGCGGCAGGACCAGGAAGGGACCTGGCGCACTCAGTCCTGGGGTGACCACGACTCCTGGACAAATAGGGAGTGGGGTGGTCAGTGGGCGAGTCACTCGGATGGGTCCTGGAGGCGATGGAGGTGGACTTGGCGAGAACAGGACGATGGCCGCGGCGATGGCGATCGACCTCGTCGACCACGACCAGAACGTCGTCCCGTCCCATTTATCCACGAAAGATCGAAAAGCTCCCGAGGCAGATGGACGAGACGGGGCTTCACGGCGGCGCGATTCTGCGGGCCAATGCGGAGCAGGTGGAGATGGTGGCGAGGATGTCTCGACCACCTCGGCCGAGGAAGAGCCTCACGATCCTTGGATGGAGGCGAAGCGCAGACAAGCACCTGCGAGCAAGCAGATGCCCCAGCGCGACCCGTGGGAAGGCTACACTCGGCAGCCCGAAGCTCGAGACGCTGTGTGGGAAGGATGGCAGCACTTCGACTATGCTGGTGGAAGTGATCGTGAAGCAGAGCGCTCGCAGGCGGGCGCAGGAGGTGGGAGCCGACCCATTGAAAGGCTCACCGTCCCGACCTTCAGCGGAGAGGACGATGGCGACGATGTTGGAACGTCGGCAAGATCCTATCTTCGGCAGATCGAAGCTTGGCGGCGGATGCGTAGCAAGGCTTGGTGCTCTACCAGAACCTTGCTGGAAAGGCATGGGTGGCGGCAGAGGAGTTGAACGTCCTCTACCTGAAGATTGCGCAGCTTGGCTCTACGTTGACCGTCTTCAACTTGAAGAAAGTGCCGAGCTCAACCTCCTAGCCAGTGTCGGTAACGCCTACTCCTTACATAGGCTGCAGAAGGCAGCAGTCATACAGGACCGTGGACTTCGCAAACCTTGGGAAGGCACAGGGGCGCGCAACAAGAAGGCCCACACGGCCCACTTCACCGGACGCGCCGGAGATGAGACCTCCGAGAGTGACGCAAAGGACGACGAGGACGACTGCATCCCCGAGGACGTCGCCCAGGCCTACGTCACTTACCAGTCGGCGAAGCAGAGGTACAAGGACCAACAGAGGGCACGTGGCTATGTGGCTGGCGACGGCAATGCCGGCAACCACTCCGACAACAAGGATGAGAAGCTCAAAGCTATGAAGGCGAGGAGTTTTTGCAGTGGATGCGGTCGCCGGGGACATTGGCATAAGGATGCTGAATGCCCAAAGAATAAGCCAGGTGCCAATCACCAAGCGGCGCCCAAGACCGACGTCAAGGACATCAGCATGTGCAACGTGCTCCCTGCCGAGGTCTATGCCACCAAGCATGAAGGGGAGTTCCTGCTGGGGATCACGGATACCGCGTGCGCAAGGACTGTGGCTGGCACGCAGTGGCTGCAGAAGTACACCGATGCCCTGGCGAAGCTCGGCCACAAGCCTCTCCTCCATAAAGAGTGCGAGGCGTACCGCTTCGGGACGGGCAAGGTTCACTACTCCGCCTTCTACGTCGTGCTTGGTTTCGAGCTCGGGAATAATTTCGTGCAGGTCAGGACCTCGATCATCAACGGGGACGTCCCGCTCCTTCTGTCGAAGGGCGTGCTCAGCAAGCTTGGCATGATCTACAACGTGGAACTTGGCCGGGCTGACTTCACGAAAGTAGGGCTACAGGGCCTTGAGCTGCAGGTGACAACTTCCGGCCACCCTGCCATTCCTATAGTCCCTGCCAAGGTCGCAGGAGATGTCTCAGGCGGGCTCCAAGCCGAGGATTTGCGACTTTCGCCGCGTGAGCAATATACTGTGTACGCTGTAGCGCATGGTAGCTTCAAGACCCCCACTACTTTCAACATCTTCTATGACAAGAAGCTAGATCCTGGGGCACGAGACATGCTATGTCAAGAGCATCTTCATCAAGAAGCTTTCCTAGCATGGTGGAAAAGTACCGGGGCCACGTCAGACTTTTGGTTAGAGTCCCCCGAGGCCTGGATAAGAGTGCATATGACCCCCAGAAAGGTCCTCTTCAATCCCTCGATGTGGCGAACCCGCCAGAAAGAGATGTTGCTTCAGACCGCAGGCGAGGTTAGGATCACTGAGGGCATTTGCTGTGCAACGAGTAGGTGGATTGAGCCAGTGGTTGATCGCTGGGAGAATGGAAACCTCAATGAGCATGCGTTCGGTTTTCTTTGGGGGAAGAACTTGGATTAGCAAGCGCTATAGCCCTCACGACCTCCTTTGCACTCCTGGTCATGGAGCAAGGACCATGCCCGCCGCGAGCCCGGACGATCAGCCAGATGACCAAGGCAGAGCTCTTGAGCGAGGCCACCAGGTTGGGTCTGGTGGTTCACCGGACCTGGGCGGTGGAGGAGCTCAAGGCGGTGATCATGGTTCACAAGCAGAGCCTGAAAGAGAAAGACCCCACGGAGCAGATGCGCCGAGTGACGCACATGACGTTGGCCCAGTTGCAGGCCAAGGCGGACAGCCTGGGCATCGACTACCCGACGGGAACCACCAAAGGCAACCTCATGCGTCTGATACGGGACAGCCCAGATCAAGAACTCATGAAGATAGGGAAATTTCGTGGATTTCAGTTTGTGGAGATCCCAGAAAGCTACTGCGAGTGGGTGATGAGAGAGCTGGCCACTGCGACCAGTCCCGACCCGGAGCTTGTTTGCCTGAGGAACTGGTACCGCTTCCGCAAGCAGAAGATCGCCGAGGGGTACACGGCGGACGCAACAACCTCACCGTACCTGAGCGGGTGGTCTTCGAGGAGGGCGGATGCAGACCCGTCATCTACGGCCAGGTCCCTGAGGAGCGCGAGCCCGACCTCGAGCGCTACAGCAAGATCGTCAGAATGGGGAGTCGTGAGCGACAAGGGCTCGAGGACCCGGCGCCGTGCCCACCACGACACGATCGAGGAGAAGGAGATGGAGGCCGACATCGACCCGAAGACGGCGGCAGAGATTGCGGAGCTGGAGACCCGTCTCGCGATAAGCCAGGAGTATGAGTCCGAGGCGGCCGGCAGGGAGGGCGACGTCTCGAAGGATGGCTCCTATGACGCCCTCCGATTTTGTGATCCCAATTTGGGTGATTCTGGCAGCCAACGGGGAGGCCGCGACCGTAAGTGTTGCGGGGTCACCGAGGCTGTGCCGACGATCTCTGAAGGGGAGTTCGTCCAATCCTTTGTTTGCAGGCATGAGGTCCTCGCTTTCGATCACGACAACGCCTCCGTCAGCGATGGCGCCGACTTCTTTGACATCGACG